TGCATCCTCCTTCCTCCACCCCCAACTGTTCTTATTCTTCCCCAGAGTGAGTACCAATGACTATATTCCCTTCCAGAGCCACACCAAAAGATTAAACAATGGCAACTTATACTATTAGAAAGAAAAACAATATCTGCTCATACAATATGATAGTTTGTAGACATCAGTTGAGCTATGCACACCCATTTTGGAGCAGGATGAAAGGCCAAACAAACAGCCTTCTGTGAAGATATCTTTCAGAAGCACTTTAGTAATAGGTCAATGGCAAATAGGCCTAAACACAGATGTTTGAGTCTGAGATCTCAATTCTGTTTGGATACTATTACATCAATTTTCTAAAAATAGGTTAATTTCATTATTATCCCATAAACCTGTACGTCTGAATATAAATATTCATACATACATTTTGTAGGTATTTGACACATGTCAAACTAACATTGGCAACATATGTTTCATATCTAAAATCCAAAATGAGTTCAGTGTCAGCTTTTATCATTTGATTTTATGTAATTTAGCTGAGATGGGCCTGAATCTTAGCTTTAGACCATTTTGGATTTGGTTTTAGATATATACATTCATTTATCACTAAACTGAATATATTTTCTAAAAAACAAATATTCATGGAGTTATTTTAGTTTCGGAATATTACTAATACTGTCTATGATTTAAAATATATTTTCTTTTTTTTCCACTCTAATATAAAGTCCAAAATGGGGAATATGTTAAAATTATCCAGTTTATATGTATCAGATAGGTAAACATACCAAAATTTCCTAAGTACATACATTTATTTGCCAGGCATAGATCAGAAAACTAGAACATTTCATCTGTACTAGTTTCTCCGTTTGACTTAATACTCTGTTTTGTTTGTTATTGTATCAAAGGTGCATGTTTAAAAATATCAGTCGGTATCTGAAGCTCAAGCAAAAATCAGCATCGCTTATCACTCTGCCAGACTTTAAAAAATACACACATAAAACAAACAAAACAGTAACAAAACAAAAACTCTACACAAAACTGATTTGCGTACCATGTAAAACTGTTTTTAAGAAAGCAGTGCTCAGGAAACAAAGAGCCAGCAAGTAGGAGAGTAACTTACAAAAGAACTATTTTCTAATTTTCTGATACTATCTATTTCCAAACTAACACTTAATGATTGTATAATTGTCTATGTGAGTTTTTATTAATATACATTATTTTATATGAACATGTGTGCGGTAGGTGATATTTTTTGCAAAACATTTATATTTTTCAAGCATAACCAAATATATTCATATTATTTGAAAGATTAATATAATATTCTTTATGTCCTAAGCCATGAATTTGAAAGAGTACAGTTAATATTATACATGGTTGTGTGTATGTATGTATATCAATTAGGGCTTAGCACTGAAAAAAAAAATCATAAAAACAACAGTACACAGAAGACATTTCTATCTAAGAGTAATGGGCTAGGAAAAGTCAGCTGAGAATAAATGTACACAGACACAATTTTCATATAAATGTAGGGGGAAGTTTGATTAGGATTTAATTTTTTTAATGTAAATAGAAATAATGCAAATAGGTTTATTTTAGATTTTTTTTAAAATTAGGTTTAATTATAACTCATGCAACAAGTTAAGGATGAAAAAAATCTTGTTACACATAAAATTCTTAAACAACTCTGCAGTACAGCACATCCCCAAATCCTTTAACTTACATTTGACTTTAGCATGGAAAAGAGGGTCAAATTTGTAACATCATTTGAGAAGACTACATTTTTCCCAAGAGCATCTATTAAGATTTTAAATAATGATGATGATTATGATGGCAGGGGATAAAGTTAACAGTTAGAATTTCCATGGAACTTACTGCATGCCAGTATTGCCTTAAAGGCTTTACACATATTATTCTATTCTGTTGTGAGAATTTAATAAATTATAAATCAAATATTATGATATTAATATTCTGTTTTGAAGCACCTAGTATCTACAAGTTCACTCTTCTAAAATACTGCCATAAGTGTTTAATCAATTTCCACAGTTCCTCTCAGGCTAGTTTTTATGTAGCAGAGTCAACTCCTAAAAATATATATTCACTTATATATGATATGAACTGAGAGCTCACTGATGAAAAGCCTCCAAGGGCTTCCTATTTGACTTAGGAAAAACAATCCAATATTGTTGATATGGCCAGCAAGACCTTTCACGGCCTTACTTCACCATCTTACTGTCTTTGGTATAGCTCAAATATGCCACACTGTGCTCTCCTTGAAAACCTGACCAGCTCCTCCCTCTGCCTCCGGCTACCCTTTCCCGAGATATGCATGGCAGCATGCTCCTTCACTTCTCACAAGTCTCTGCTCAGATGCCACCAACTACCAAAAACCATCCGCAACCAAAAATAAAACAATCACTCCCCATAGCCACCCAACCAACTTTATTTTTCTTCACACTATTTGACACTGTCAAAAAGTCTGATTTTTTTAATTTGATTTTTGTTTTAATGTCTTTCCCCTCCTCTCCAAGTGCCCCCAGCACCATCTGTAGACTATAAGAACCATATTTGCTTGGGACTTTTTGTGTTCACTACTATAACCTGAACTCCTTACAAGAGTGCCTAGTATATAGTAAGCATTTAACCAATGTTGATAGATCGAATTGAACCATTCTTGCCAATTTTCTCCTTACATTTCAGCTGAACTAAATCTGCCTGATCCACAGTTTGCTTGGAATTTAGGCTCAATGCTAACCACACACACACATAGCACACACATGTAATATATGTATACTAAGACTTTTAAAGACTTGCTAAAAAGCTTCTCAAGGGCATGATCTACCTTTGCTATATTATTGTTAGGATTTAAATTTTGTACAAGAAATATACTTTGTGTATGCAAAATTTAAGAGGGAAAAAGTAAGATACACCTAAGACTATGGTAGGTATACTATATCAGTTTACTATATGAAATGTGAATATGTAATAGACATATCAATAAGAGTGTAATATATGTTAAATATGTAATAGATGAGTATACAATATATAATACATATATATAGCTTTCTGATGACCTGTGCCATTCTAAACAAAATAATATTTATATCAAGGAGTCTTATTTATTCTTATATATGACTGTATCATGTTTATTTTCCTTGAATTGTACTCACTTGGATTAATCCATGGCTTAACTTATTTTTCCTCTCTTCATTATATCCAGTCTTAAAGAAAATCCTGCATCCACCTTTATAGGATTGGTAGAAGCTTAGCAAATCTACTCCCTAACTCATTCCTTTCTACTGACCTATGGTTTCATAAATGTGATTTTTGTCACCAAATATGGTGACTGAAAAGTACAAACATTACATCATAGTGAAGCAGCATATATTCTGCCATGGGGATCAGATATTTTTGGAGATCGATAGCTCTAGATAACAAATAGATTGGTAAAAGAACACAGTCTACCAAACTGCAATTGACTTTGTAAATCTTAGTTTCCTATTTTCTCATAGACATCAGGTCATTTTCATGTAATTATCAAGTCTGAAGTTAAAATATCACTGAGATTTGCAGTCCATGATAATATTGGTTCTTTTTACTATGGCTATGATAGAAGACAGACAATGAATATCCAGACTTTTATTTCCTTAAATTAAAAATAATGAGCCTTAATATGGAATATTCTGTACATTAATTTAAAAGGATATCTATAAAAAACAAGAAGAAGAGCAATGTGTTTGAGTTTCTCTATCAAAACAAGCCACATAAACAAAACCACATCTAACAAAAGAGATGTACAAATTTGCTGTGCTTTCTGAGTCTGGAGAAGCTCATGAGCGAGGTAGAGAAACACACACCACATTCTGACATTGGCTGCCTCAGGATAAGAGGAGGAAATAATTAGTAACTTTCTCTTTATATGTGTCTGTTTTGAGTTTTAGAATCTATTGCCTTCATAATCATATATCTATATAATTACGTTTACATAATATGTACTTACGTAATTTACTTACATATACTTATATAATTTACTTAAATATATATGTCTGCAATATACAATTACATGTATAAAATATATAATGGTATATTATAATCCTGTACAAACTCTGTGTGTAATATGCACATATTAACATATACACATACATATATGTATATTCAAATTCACCAGTTGTTTTTAATTTAACATTGTTTTTCTGTGTTTTATTCTGGAGGCAATTATTAAGTTTACTACTATGTCAACTGTCTTTGGGTAAGAAATGTTACATTAAAATGTATATTTTACTTTCAGGAAAGGTTGTGAACCTGTTCCACTAAAATACTGATTAGTCATTTAGCCAAAACCAGTATTTTAAATATTCTAATAAGTAATGAGAAATAGTACAGTATTTCCACCAATCCATTGCATATGCTCTGTACACATTTCAGAAGAAAATATATGACTGATTTAAAATTTTTATTATAAATAATAAACATATTAGGATGCATGGCTTTGAGATAGCAATGGTACTATACATAACATCTGATGTAAGTGTGTATTGCTTGCAGAGATAATCTGGCTTCAATAAAGAAGGTGTATTGTTATACCTATTTCATTTATTTTAATAACTAGATCTTCTGACTGACAAAAGTTTAAACCTGCCATAAATGTTAATTATTTTTGGCACAGTAGAAAGAAACAGAATATATTAGTGTTACTATAATAACAATGAATTTATAAGCATTTACATACAAAAATCTCTTTAAAGGAAAAAGAACACTGAATTAGAAGAGAAATACTTTTGTTGGCTTTTCTCAAAATAGGGCTATACTGAAGCTTGCCAAATCCAAAAATTATTAACTGGCAGAGTCAAGTTAAAAACATTTCAGCTTCACATAAAAATATACTTTGAGTTCTAGGGGTGCTACTCATTCTCTGCTCTATAGGAGCATACAAAACTAGAACAGTGAAAAAAATCACCAAATATGGTATGGCATGTTACAGTGCAATATTAAAATAATATGTCTTTCAAGTAATTAAGACTTACTGTTATTTTGGAGCTATCTCATTTCAGTGCCATTTTAATAATCAATAACCTGAAATCAAAAGTAATAAATCAATAGTCATCAAAAATTTCCATAAACTAACATACATCCAAATCTTTCATTTCACATTTATTCTTAAAACAGTTAAAACCAAAACATACTTATTAAAGTGGGATATCTAAAATGCTTAAACATTTTACTTTCAAATCCGTCAGTTGAAATCATCCTCCCTATAATAAAAAGTCTTCTTTTTAGATTCCCTAAAAACTACTACACAATAATATCAATAATGTTAGTAAAGTACTTCACTAGGAATAATCAGTCTAATTCATTGTAGGTCTCTTTTCTCAGTTTGAAAACATGTAACTTCTAAACACCAAAATTCACAGTAGTAAAAATTAATAAAAATATTAAAAGAGGTCCAGTCATAGTTAGGTTTCCATGAAGTCAAATTTTACTCTTGCTATTTTTATTGCTGTTGTTTACAAAATACCAAAACTATTTTAGAGACAAAAGTGAACAGAAAAAATACCACCATTCAATTTAATAGCTATAAATTTACGATTTTTTTTGAGTCACAGTGGCTATTGGTAAAATGCTACTTTTAAAAAAGTTTTATTTTAAATGTTGACATTAAATATATCATCATAAGAAGCCGAATGTATAAAATTATAATACTGGAGACACTATTTTCAGTTTTTAAGAAATGTTTGAAAATAAGTAATTTTATATGCTCTATTTACAATTCATTCCTTATAAATCTTGTTAGCTGATATTAGCCATCCAGAAATTCTTTATTCACAACAGTAACTAACAGAATTTAAAATGAGGTAAAGATTTTGTAAACCATATGTTTACTTATGAGGTTTTACAAGTCATATTCCAACTCTGTGAGAAGCTACAAATATTAACAAGATGATTGATGGGTTGGTCCAGTTTTTCCAAACAGTAGAATATTAATGTAGGCTGCAGAAAGAATGTTTTTCTTCATTGACCTCGTTCATTCATAGTTGGCAAAATATTTGGAAACTAAAACAGCACGGAAGTCTAGTCTCCTCTACAGACCATGAATATGCCGAAAGAAAAGTAGAAATGAAACTTACAACCCAATGTCTCAAGATTTTAACTTTATCATCTATTTTTTGTTTAAAAAAATTCTACACCATATATAAGCAGTTCAATTATGCATACATATACAAACACACATCCATATACATATATGTATGTTTGTGGTTTAACATTTGTTTAAATAACAAATGGTTACTGATCCATGTAATATTGAAGTAAACTAGTTAAATATTGATAACAAAATCTACAGTAAACTGTTAAAAATCAAGCACCTCATTACCTGATCAAGCAATACATCTACATTTATTGAATAAAATAATGTCAAGATTCTGGTCATTTTATGGTTTTTGTAGTCCTAGTAGAACATACGGAAAAATCAACAAAAATCCGTAATTAATTCTCTGAGGACCTATACTTTAAAATGCTCCAGTAGAGAGATTTCACAATACATTTGTTTTTCTTTAATGTACACACTAGAAGAAGTTATTTAAGATTTAAAGAAATCTAATAAGAGATCCACTCTCTACATTGGTTAGAATTTGCCATTTCCTAATGAGTAGTTTATACTCTAGGGGCACCTGTCGCAAATGCTTCAAGTCTCCAAATATTGCCCCATGAAACTACACGTGGGAGGTTGGTAATTTAAAAGACAGTTACAAATAATTTTTCACTGATAAGACAAGTAATGATCAAGATATATGATTGGCAAGAAATAGTGGGTAATCTCCCCATTGTGGGAACTAAGTAAAATAATAACAGGAAAAGGTTATGAGTCTATTATCTTTAAAGTGGTGCCTTCAATCTAAAATCTATTCAAATTGGTACCCACTTCTGGACATATAAGGAGGGTCCTTCACCTGTTACTACTAGAAGACTCATTGCTTCTGCTACCAGAAGACAGTTGCATTTGCTCTGCAGTGAACGTTTTCTACAAAGTGCTGGAAGGCATGCCTAAAAAGACCAGGAACAGAGACTCCCTCCAGATTATTTAGAACAAGCTGTTTGGTTTTGTACCTGATTGTTCATAAAAGTTTGTACCTTTGCAGAAATTGATCAGTAACATTTGTTTCTTGGTTTGTTTTTGTTTTTCAAACAACCTCATTAGTAGCGAAGTTGTAAGAGAAGAGACATTTACCTCCTACCTATCTCTCATTTGTCAAAGGTCAAAATTTTGACAAAAAAATCCCTAATTTGTTGAAGCAATGAATTACCTTAGATCAATTCCTACTCTCAGCATGTTAAATAGGAGATAACTCAGTTTAGAGCAGTCTATTTTTGCTAGAGAAAGTCACAATCAGTCAGGATACTTTAGATGATGCTAAGTACCAACCAGTTTAAAATCACAAAGGAGTATTTCTCCCTCAAATTAAACATTCATTACATGTTAGCAGGAAGCTTTGCTCACCATAGCATCTTGGCTAAGCAGGATAACAGGGCAGCTTTCACCTCAAATGTGGAGAAAGATGCAAGTAAGATGAAAGAACACTAGAAATTAAATGCTCTGGCCCCAGGCGCACTTGGCCACAATTACTTTTCTAATCCCATCTAAATCACGAAAGCTGGGAAATGCAACTTGATTCAGTCACCCAAAACATGAGAAAATCAGGAATATTTGTTATTTATCATAGCAATTTAATACCTCAGTTGAAAACTCAGGTTCCCTGTTTTGAAGACTATATCTTAAGTTGTAGTATGCCCTAAAATTGTACTTTTCTTAAAAAAAAAAAAAAAAAATTGAAATCTGTATGGCTGAAATTAAATCTCTTCTAATCTGAACAACCTAGAATATGTGTAGGCAGATATAAGTATATAAATGATATAAACAATCATTAAATTTTTAAGCCATGGAGATCCTTACAAAAGGATAGAAAAGGTATTAAACTTTGTACCTAAAAATTACAACAGGAGTGGCCAAATTGTTATGTGCATACTATGACAATGAGTATTTGTTAAAATGGAGATTTCCAGGTCCCTGGACTAATATGAAGATTTAATAGGTCTGGCACTTGAATGCAGAAATTCACATTTTACAATGCACCCACTTAATTCTGATGTAGGCAATACTGAGACCATATTTTGAGAAGTGATGCTGTAGCTGATTGGTTCCAAGAACCAAGAAGCATAAATATGAAACTGAATTGGAGAAAAAGTAAGGGTTCAATCGATCCATGGCAACTTTTATTTGGTTGCTGAAATTATATTAAAATTATAAAATTAATTAAGAAAACACCTGACTCATCAGTCGCAAAAAGATGCAGTAGCAATGCAGTGGTATTGCCTCTCTGTTCTGATATGCAAATAGCCCCATTTAAATTAGGGAGAACAGAATTGAGCAAATAGCTCCCATGTAAATTAGGGAGAAGAGAATCATACTATTTTCTTTGCAGATATTTCCCAAATTGATATCTCCAATACAGACTCCTTTCCTTAGTGCTAAGCTCATATACCCAACTTTCTACTCAGTATCTCCACTTGGCTACACCCTAATAGGTCAATCTTTATATGTCCAAAATCAGATTTTTAATGCTCATTTCCAAAACTGCTCATTTTTTGAAGCCATTTCCATCTTAATCCACTATCACTATTCTTTCAGATACTAAGAGGAAAGCCTGGAAGCCAGGCTTGATTCATTTTTCTCCACAGTTTTGTTGAGAAATGTTTCTTCAACCATTTTCTTAGTCGATCATTAAAGCCTGTCAGTGCTTTCTTTGAAGATTCCTTGCAGAATCACCACTTCCTAGCACCTCCTTTGTTACCATCCTACTCTAAGACACCATCTTTTACACAAACAGTTGTTAAGAAACTTCTAAGGGTCTCTTCAGAGATGTGCTGGTTTATCAACAACTTAGTTTATAAATAATAAGTATGTATAATGCTGTAAACAAAAAAAGAAAAGAAGGAACAGGAGGAGGAGGAAGAAGAAAGGAAGGAATAAATGCAGGAAAGAATAAAGGAGAAAGGGAGGGAGAAGGAAACCTCTATAGTATTTGCAGATTTCTACATGCAAACACTTTCACCAGGGCTAATTTCAAGTGACTTGAGGGCATGATTCTGGAAAAGATGCACACAATGGCTTCTGCTGAGTTGATATGAGCCCATTCCAACATAAGGTGGGTTTTCCCTTCTTTGACCCTAGCAAACTATAATCCTCATCACCACCTGGCAGCCAAAGCGACTTGAGTTGGATGATACCACTCTTCCGCCCAAAGCCTCCCAAGAGGCTCCCCAGGCCACACAGAGTAAGATCCCAGATCCTAACAGGAGCTCCAAAGCTTATTTGATGGTGCCCAATCCCTGTCTTCTAACCCTCTGGTCTCACTGCCTGTTACTGTCCCTGGCTCACTGTACTCTAGTCACCTTGTCTTTCAACATACCAAGCATGCTGCTACCTTAAAGCTTTTGCACTCCCAATTCCTTCTGCTTGGACCACTTTCTCTCTAGGTATGAGCTTGGCGCCCTTTCTTACTTCCTCTTGGTCTTCGAGTAAATAGCACCTAAACAGGGAACTATGCCCTGAGCATCTGACAAAAAAGTGGAATAACTTTTAGTCTCTAATCCTTCAGCTTGCTTTTTCTTTATAACACTTTTTACTTACTGACATTTATACACATATGTAAATAGTTCTTAGTATCAATATTTATGTGTTTGTCTCTTTAAGGGCACAGCCACTCACATTTTCCCAGTTCCTGTGGCAGTGTCGGCCACATAATGAACTTGTATATTGCATGTATAATGCCACATAACTTGTATAATGCCACATAATTTGCTTGTATACTGCACATCTCTTTAGCCAATTTTGCTAAAGAGATGTGCAGTATACAAGCAAATAAATGAAGAAGGCAATTCCATAAAGAAAAAGTTGGTGAGAGTCCATGAGGGATACAGTGGCTATGGTCAGTGGTGGTGGACATCTCAAGTGGTCATATTTAAGCTAAGGTCAGAATGACAATACAATTAATATAACCTGCATGTGAATAAAAATT